GAGGAATGAAGCAATTTTCGAAATATGTGCTTGTCCCGAAACGAGCAAAGTCAAGTATGCGACATTCACTTTCACCGGTAAAGCTCTCACTTGGTGGAATGGCCGAGTTAAGTCACTTACTCCTGCAGTGGCTAACTCTATAAGCTGGGAGGACTTGAACGCTTTGATGCTAAAGGAGTACTGCCCGAGGGGCGAAGTGCAAAAACTTGAAGAAGAACTCTGGAACCTCAAGATGTCGGGCACAGACCTTGAAACTTATACTACCCGATTCAATGACCTCGCACTCCTCTGTCCAACAATGGTCACTCCAGAAGAGAAGAAGGTGGAACGATACCTCTGGGGGCTATCATCCCAGATTCAAGATAGTGTGCTGGCCTCGAAACCCACTACTTTTGACAGTGCTAAGGAATTAGCACAACAACTTATCGACCATAGAGCCAACCACGGTACTGTTACTACCACCCATGATCAAGCTAAGGGGAGAGCAATAAAAGAAAATTTTGGAACAACAAAAAGAAGCAGTCGGCGCTAGACTCCTCCAAAAAGCAACAGACAGTTGTTGTCCGTGCTGCCACTACTCCTGCCACTCCAGCACCACAGAGGCAATATGCTGGAAACCTTCCCAAGTGCAACAAGTGTAATTTCCACTACACCGGTGCTTGTCGGGAAATGTACTGCAAAAATTGCAACAAGAAAGGGCATACCGCTTGTTTCTGTAGGGCACCAGCCCAACCAATCACTCAAGTCGCCAATACGGGGGCAAGTCAAGCCTGTTACGGCTGTGGGGAGACAGGGCACTTCAAAAGAAAGTGCCCAAAGGCACAAACCCCTAATGCTGGTGACATGGGGAGAGTCTGGCTATAGGACATGGAGAAGCAATCAAGGACCCCACAATAGTTACTGGTACGTTTCTTCTCAATAACTCATATGCATGCATACTCTTCGATAGTGGAGCGGAGAGGAGTTTTGTGAGCCATCAATTCAAACAATTACTTAGACAAGATCCCCAATTACTAAAAGACACATACGTCGTAGGAATGGGAAACGGAAAGGCAGAGCGCACTAGCGATATATACTCAGGGTGTACCCTCACTCTAGACAATCATTCATTTAAAATCGACCTAATGCCGATAACAATAAAAAGTTTCGACATAATCATCGGTATGGATTGGTTAAGTTCTCATCGTGCCGACATTCTATGTTACGAAAGGGCCGTTCGCCTCAATCTGCCAAGTGCGAAACCCTTCTCGTTTACGGCGATAAACCCAGTGCAAACTGGCAAATCATCTGTTGCGTCAAGGCTCAAAAGTATCTCCGAAAGGAATATCGCGCCTTCTTAGCCCACGTGATAGATAAGAAACAAGATGCGAAGGACATCAAAGACATTCCAGAGTTGTGTGATTTTCCCGACTTATTCCCAGAAGGCCTCCCAGGTGTACCACTTGCACGACAAGTCGAATTCCGAATCGATTTGGTCCCAGGAGCTACCCCCGTAGCCAAAGCTCCATACCATCTCGCACCGACGGAAATGCAAGAGCTGTCCAGCCAACTGAATGAGCTGCTGAGCAAAGGGTTTATCAGACCGAGCTTTTCACCTTGGGGAGCACCAGTTCTCTTTGTGAAGAAGAAGGATGGATCCTTTCGCATGTGCATCGACTATCGGGAGTTAAACAAACTTACCATCAAGAATTAATATCCCTTACCCCGAATCGACGACCTCTTCGACCAACTACAGGGAGCAAGCTACTTTTCAAAAATTGATCTGAGGTCGGGTTACCATCAACTACGAGTTCAAGAAGAAGATATCCCCAAGACAGTCTTCAGAACTCGCTATGGGCACTACGAGTTTGTAGTGATGCCCTTCGGGTTAACAAACGCACCTGCGGTATTCATGGACCTGATGAATCGAGTGTGTCGACCCTACTTAGACAAGTTCGTGATCGTATTCATCGACGGCATTTTGGTCTACTCATGAAGCGAGAAAGAGCACCGCCAACACCTGCGACAAGTGTTAGAGACATTGAGAGCTGAGAAGCTTTATGCCAAATTCTCTAAGTGCGAATACTAGATCCGAGAAGTGGATTTCCTTGGTCATGTGGTCAGTGAAAGAGGGATACATGTGGACCCCTCCAAAATCAAGGCAATCGAGAACTGGTCAACACCTACAACACCGACGAAAATCCGATAATTCTTAGGGCTTGCTGGATACTACCGAAGATTTATCCAAAACTTCTCCAAGATCACTAAACCACTCACCACCTTGACTAAAAAAGGTGTGATGCTTAAATGGGAAGATAAACAAGAAGCTGCCTTCCAAACGTTAAAACAAGCCCTGTGCAGCGCACCAATCCTGTCTCTGCCAGAAACGACCGAAGACTTTGTAGTCTACTGCGACGCATCAAACCAGGGGCTTGGGTGTGTATTAATGCAGCGAGGAAAGGTCATTGCCTACGCATCGAGGCAATTGAAAACACACGAGGTCAACTACGCCACACACGACCTCGAATTGGGAGCAGTAGTGTTCGCCCTAAAGATCTGGAGGCACTTAATGGAAGAAAGTTCTTAATCTATTTGTACGTTGGGTGTAAGTTAGAGTACGCCGCGCGTACAGCTCATGCACTCAGTATGCTACGCGTACCAGGGTGGTACGCAAGGCGTACGCACCTCAGAATGGGTAGATTTTGGGCCTAGTCACGTTTTGGAGTTAGTGGGCTAGCTTATCTGTTTGGGCCATGGATACTATGCTTGGGCTTTATTGGGCCATGAGCCCCATTAATGATTTTGGACATGGACTTTGGGCCCATTAGCAAAGGAAGACTTTTTAGGCCACTATGAAAGGACTTGGGGTTTGGGTTCTTCAATTGGATTGTGTTCAGTCCTAACCTTGGGTAATCTTATTATTGTTCAGCATGGGTGGTTACAGACTGTTAGGAGAGTAGCTTTCGGATTTAGCGGACAAAGGTGAGTCTCCTCACCATACCAATGGGTCTAAGGCACCAAGGTCGGCCCATTTTCTGTTATGTGGTACACTAGCTGAAGTTATATTATGTGGCATGATAGTTGGTTATGTGCTAGGAAGTATGCTAGTTGTATATGTGGTATGCTTGTATGGAAGACCATGTGAGAGCCCATGGCAGCTCGATGTAAGACCATGTGGAGAGCCCATGGCTTTCCTACTAAAGACCATAGGAGAGCCCATGGCAACCGGATGTAAGACCACGTGGAGAGCCCATGGCTTTCCTATTAAAGACCATGGGAGAGCCCACGACACTTAGATGTAAGACCAAGTGGGGAGCCCATGGCATCCTGGAGTAAGACCTTGGGGACGAGCCCACGACATCCCTATATGTTTGTATGCATGGCTATTGTGATATATGTAGCTTTTATAGCTAATATGAATATGTGTTTATATGGATTATGTGGGGTATGCTTTGGGGAACTCACTAATTATTAGCTTACAGTTTGTGGATTTGTTTCAGGTACATTTGAGCCCATGGGCAAAGGCAATGTTTGATGACACGTCGTGCACTCTCTCTCAAGCGTTTTTATGGGATACTCTGTTGTTTTTAAATAAAATTGTAATTGATATGAATTTTGAAAAAAATTGTATTTGAGATTTCATGGTTTGTGGAAAGAATTTAGGGTAATTAAAAATGAAAATTTGTTTTGAAAAATTGGGTCGTTACATATGTTCTCCCAGCTGAGAAAAAAAGATATTGACCTTCAATATTTTTTTCCCAATTTGAGTTAGAGATGGGACTGCTACTTCTTTTTAGCATGACGTGTGGAGGGGCGACGTGCCTTTGTCTTCTATCTTCCCTAGAGTTTATGTTCTGGATTTGCACAGACACGTTCTATTAGTGACATGCTGCCTATGGGATTAGGGTTTAATACCTTTAGACGTATTCCTAGAGGAGGAGTAGAGCAGGAGCAATGGGACAACTTTATTTTACTTTTGTAGGATTTTCGTTTTCAATCGATTCTAGATAGACTGGGTTAGGTTATCGATACATCAGACACTTTTTCAGTTTCTTCAGCTTGGAGATATTTGGATGGTTTTATGCTCTTCACAGTTGGCCATGCTACTCGTCGGAATAATTGGATTCCAATTAAGATTAATATTCTTATTTGGAGAATTACACTTCTAGCATCCCTACTAGAGAGCGATTATCTCATAGGGGTATCTTGGTGAATTACATTCTTTGTCCCATTTGTTCTTCTAGGTTAGAGACTATTGATCATATTTTTGTAGAGTGTACTGATTTGATTGCTTTTTGGTCCCGTATTGTTGTTTGGTGGGGTGGTAATCTTCGTTCTCATATTATAGTGGACTCTCTTATCAATTATCAATTGGGTGGCGTCTTCTTTTTGGAGAATCGGCAAGCGTAAAGCTTTCGATGCAGTGATCTTGACCTCGTTTTGGTGCATTTGGAATTTCAGAAATGCAATGATTTTTGGAGCTGCCAATCCTAGGAAACCCTTGATTTTTGAGGATGTTGTTTATAAGTCTTTTTTTTTTGGATTTCGAATTGGTGTACAAAAGCCATATTTAGTTGGTCTTCTTGGCTTCATAATCCTATTTCAGCAACTATTTTGATGTAATTCTTTTTCTAGCTTGTTGCTAGTTTTAATAATATTCTACGGTGCCAAAAAAAACATCTAACCGTTAGTAACATATTTATAAATTTTTTTGTATACAATATCAAGTTAGGAACTTACCTACACTTTCACGACTTGATAACATTAAATTTTTATTTTTTTTATCAATAATAACAGTATTAAATAAAAATAAAAAAAAGTAATAAACTCATATTAATTGATAAGGAGAACTACATTACTGTTTTTTAATACGAATATAAATATGTTCGATTATAAAAAAAAAAAGTATATTACAACTGCGGTTAAAAATATCAGAAACGTCTTGCATTCTTCTTTCCGTACAATTCCCAATTCTCCGTTTTTTGGTGCTTGATCTTTGGCATCAATTTCTTTCTTCCACGATGGGTTTAATCAATACTAGTGGTGGAGGGAAGGGATGGAATCCCATTCTTCCTTCCTGTATACTAAAGAACAAATTGTCCTTACAAATCGAACACCCACATCCATCACACATGAGTGTTTGCATCTCTTCACTGCTGTTTATCATTGATTGCTTTTCAGCTTTCTCGCGTCATTTTTCTCCTTGGTTGAATCAGGTATCATCTCTGTCTATCTCCTTATTTGTGATCAGTGATTTGCAAACTTATTTGGATATTGAAAGTCTACAGAGATTAAAGATTAAAGCCTAATTTCATCTAAGGACTAACCAGTGAATTAATAGTAGTGATAACAACTGTAGACAAGTTCAAAGTGCTGGAACCTTTCACTCGATTCCAACCAGCACTTGATTTCATCTGCTTTAATTTGTAAATTGGTCTCTTCAAATTGGCGCCAATATCTATCCTTAAAACACGTAACATTTCACTCTACTTCCATGCATATCCAATTACGTGATAATGATTATATATTTATGCAGAAATGTCACAAGAATACCCATACCCTTCTCACGTGCATGCAGCTAGCTTTGTTTCAGTCAAGCTGTCCAGTAAAACCAATTATTCTATGTGGGAGGAACAGATGATGTGCCTTCTGGAGAGCCACGATATGCTCGGTTTCATTGATGGAACAATAAAGAAAGAGAAGTATAGGGGATGGAATAGGTCGGACAAACTTGTCAAAGGATGGATTTTTGGTTCATTAAGTGAAGATGTGATGGCTACTGTTCTTGGCCTCGACACAGCCAACAACGTGTGGGAGAAGCTACGGACTACTTACAGTATTTATGCCTCTCCTAACACCACCAGAAACATAGGTATGACGTCAATATTGCTTACATGGTTCTTTTCTTTTTTGCTATTATATAATTAATATCCCCGTGAATTGTAGTGACTCTTTTTCTTATGGAAATAGATAAGACAGATCACCTCCCACTATGTAGAGCTATTATGAGGGGCGACTGGGAGGAAGCTGGAGAAATTTTTAACAGGGACAAAGATGCATTGACAGTTAAACTCAATGTTGAAGGCCATAGCGCACTCCACATTGCGATTGATGCATGTAAACATATCCAGTTTGTTGAGAATCTCCTGAAGGAGATAAACCCAGAATCTCTTCTAGCTTTGGTGACCTGTCATAAGGAAAATGCACTGCACCGTGCTGCAATGGTTGACAACGTCAAGGCTGCAAAGATGTTGGTGGAGAAAAACCCATATTTGTTATTCAGTCTTGACAATATGAACAACATGCCTATCCATAGAGCTATCATCGGTTCTCACGAAACCACATTTCAGTATATGCTTGATGCCTGTATGCGTCATATAACGCTTTCCCAAGAAGATGGATATCACAATCCCTTTGAGGGAAGACATGGTGTACGGCTTCTTACTAATGTAATCAATGCGGGGCTTTTGGGTGAGTCTTGAAATCCCTAATACATAGTTGGCTTGAAGTTAAGACATCAAGCCTTTGGGTGTATATATGTAGGGGAAATGCTTCTAGGACTTCAGCAAAAAACAAGAAATGTATCCCCCTTAATTTGGATCATATAATCAATTGTTAAATAGAATTTAAAGTATCCCGTACACATCTTTTCTATATTTACTTTCATTCTTAATGCTCTTTGCAGATGTTGCATACGATTTGATCAAGAAGTACCCTGTCATGGCTACGAAAAAGGTTGGGCCTTACATACCCTTGTTGTCTATTGCGAGAAAAGGGGACTTGTATTTTAGTGGAACCCGATACAACTTCTACCAAAAATTTGTTTATGCTAGTAGGTTTCTTCGCTTGCTATTAAATGATTTTGGTTTTCTTCTTACCATGACCTTTTTTCAGATAAAATTCTACTCTAATTCTTTACACCTAAAACACAATTTTACAACGGAAGTTGCACCTAAACGTTTATAACCTTGAATTTTATTTTGTTTGGATCGTCATGAAAATCTTTATTTGTGTTGATATCATGTACCTTTAACTTTGATTTTGCCTCCCTGGTGATGTTAACAAATAATTATTATTTTTGTTTAAAAGATCTACCAACAGGTAACAATGACTTAAGTGGTACAAACAAGATTCAAGATATTGAGAACCAAAACACTTATAATGGCAACTTTGAGACCAATGGCTGGAAGACCTACTTCTATTATGGTTTGTGATCTTAAAACTCTTAACAGTTGAATCATAAACAATAAACATGATTAACAAAAAAATATTTTTTTTTTTGGTTGACTTTGGTCTCCTTTCAAGCATGTATGTTCTCATTTATATCTTGCAGGCGTTTATTTTTATTAGGGATTTATATACACAAGTGATCACACATCTATTCGCCTCAACACACACTTAGAGCGTCCAAAATGCATAGTTTAATGAGAGAGTTGAGTGAGGTGGCATGCCTAATTGGCATTCAATGGATTAAACTCTATCATTGAGGGATGTCATGTTGGCATTCAATAGATATGGAATTCAATGACCATTGAACTCTTTAATGGGAAGAACCAAACCTTTTAACTCTTATATATATATATATATATATATATATATATATATATATATATATATATATATATTCCATTGAACTCTATTGAGTTCAATGCATTGTAGAAAATTAATATAGAGTTGTATAGTAAGTAAAATGGTGATATATTAATCCATTAAACTCTAATAAATTTAATGCATTGTGGACTCCCTTATTGTTACTGCACACCATTACTATTGTTGATTTTTAGTTAACTTTTCATATAAATCCAATCTGATTTCTCCTGTAGTCATCCAGAGGATTTATGTCAAGTTTTGGGATGTTGCACTACTAAAAAGTAAGGAATGTTCCCTTTTTGTCCCCTTAAATGCATTACTTCATTCAATCTATGGTTTGATGTAAAAAGATTCTCTACTTAAAGGACTCTGAGTTCCCCTCACGTGGAAGTTCCTTAATTTTTTTTTTGGAGATATGCACACTTGATCCACAACATTTATGTAACATGTCCTCACTGAAGGGGATTGGTACGTATTTGAGACTAAATGTTGGTGTAACCTGCAGTGACACATGTCAAGCATCTCCATGAAGACAAATTGAAACACAATAAAGCTCGTATGCTACTGAAATGTATATGCAAAGAAGTTGGTAAAATAGATAAAGGGATTGATATTTGTCGAATTTATGGTGAAGCATTTAATTTGGCAGTGCAAAATGATACTCCTGAAGCAGTGGAAGAGATCATTGAATCTTTTCCACAAGCAATCTGGACAAGGAACAGTGATGGTTATTTAGCTACTCAAGTTGCAATAAAAGACCGTTGTCGAAAGGTTCACGGCATTTTGATACGCCATCTGCCTCGTAACAAGTATTTAGTTCATGCCTTTTTGGATGATGATAAAAACAATACATTGCACTTGGCTGGACAATTGGCACCTATACCCAAACTCAATCTTGTTTCTGGTGCAGCTTTGCAAATGCAAAGGGAGTTGCAGTGGTTTAAGGTGAACATGCTTCAATCTATATGGATAATTATTTTCTTGAAAATTAGACTTGTTTTAATATTAGTTGAACTACAGGGAGTGGAGAAATTTGGGAAACCCAAACACAAGGAAATAAAAAACAAAAAAGGAGAAACACCAATTATGGTATTCAGAAGAGAACACAAGGAGTTAAGAAAAGAAGGGGAAGCATGGATGAAAAAGACAGCGGATTCATACACAATCACAGCTGCACTCATCATCACTATAGTTTTTGCAGCAGCCATCACTGTACCTGGTGGAAATGATAGCGACACTGGGAAAGCAATTTATTCAAGAAAACCAAGCTTCATTATCTTTGTGGTCTCAGATGCAATTTCTTTGTTTGCATCCACCACTTCGTTGCTGTTGTTCCTGTCAATTCTCACAGCACGCTATCGAGAGGAGGATTTTCTATACCGGTTACCATTGAGATTAATAGTTGGCCTTGCAATGTTATTCTTGTCGGTTAGCTCAATGATGGTAGCCTTTAGTGCAACACTTTATCTTACGTTTGGACAAGGAAGGGCATGGATTCTAATTCCAGTAGCTACATTAACATGTCTTCCAATTGTTTCATTTGTAACACTACAATTACCATTGCTTGTTGATCTAATCTCCTCAACATATTATCATGGAATCTTTGCTGAAGATCAGTCGCCGTAGGCGTAGGATCTAATGACAACATCAGACATGTCTTGTTGCATTATAAGATGTATTCAATTTTATACTAAACAATCATAATTAAAGATTGTGCTTCAATAGTGTGATTGCATGTGATTTGATCATCAGGTATCCTGACATGGGTAGACCAAAGGTTGGAATTAAATTAGGTACCATTGATGTACAACTGTAGGGGAACTCGATACAACTTTTACCAAAAATCTGTGTATGCTTGTATGTTTCTTCTCTTACTCTTACATCATGTTCATGATGGATGTGTCATATTCATCATAATTTATGCAAGGTTAACCATGATATGCTTTTATCGGTCACCCGCTTATATGATACTAATCCATGACTGAGGAGCAATGGATCATGATCCAGTGTTGATTATTTTTTTTCTTACCACAACCCTTTTCTTCAGACAAAATTCCACCCTAAATAACCTTTACTTTATTTTGTTTTGCTCATCGTGAAAGTCTTTGTTTGTGACGATATTTTAGGTTTCAACAAAAAAAAAACAACTTGCTTGGAAACAAAGCAAGGGTTAAACAAAGAAGATGAAAATAGGAAATACGAACGCGATGAGAAGATTGGTTAATTGTGAATCTATTTATTTGAAAAATAAAAGACTCCTTACGCAACAAGTAAAATACACCTAATCTAATTCAAACACCTACTTACCATAATTAAATTACTCTCCTAAAAATATGGATTATTCCAACATTCTCCCTTTCATCCAAAGTTCTTCATGTCTTTTACTCCAAGTAGCTTTAGGATTTCTTCAAATCTCACTTTGTTCATTGGCTTAGTCAAAATGTCATCTTTCTACTCATGAGTACCCACATGCTTTACTATCACATCACTTATTTCTATGCACTCACGAATGAAATGAAACCGTCTGTCAATGTTTTTACTTCTTCCATGAAAGACTGGATTCTTCATCCAATGTTGACATGTTATCCACATTCAACTCGAATGGACCAAGTTTTCTTCCGGTTAACACACCAAGCAAACCATATGCCTTGAAATGTTTCGCTTTTAGCTGCCATAAATTTTGCTTCGCATGACGGAAATGCAACACACTTTTGCTGTTGTGGGCTCCAAGTAACAACCTTTTCATTCAAGTAGAACACCATGCTTGTTGCACTTCTTCTATCTACCATATCCCTTGCTAGGTCACTATCAGTGTATCCAGTCACACCATTTTTGCCACCTTTCGTATATGACAAGCCATAGTCAACAGTTCCTTTAACATACCTTAGTATGTGCTTCATAGCTAGTTGGTGTTTCTTGCTTGGTTTCTCCATGAAATGACTCATAATGCTTACAAAGTAAGCTATGTCGGATCGAGTGTGAGTACGGTACCTTAACCCTCCTATGATGCTTTGATGTGAGCTAGGGTCTACGAATTCACCTTTTCCATCACCGGTGAATTGTAACTTTGACTCAATGGGGAACATATAAGGATTATAATCAAACATACCAACCTTCTTTAGGATAGAGTTAGCATAATTCGTTTATCTTAATGTGAGACCATTTTTTTAGTGATTAACCTCGATGCCTATATAGTAAGCTAGCATCCCAAGGTCACTCATTTCAAACTCCTTGCCCCTTTTTTGTTTGAACTTCAATATCTCATCCTTGTGGCCTCCGGTGACAATGAGATCATCAACATAGACACCAATTATTAGTATTCTCCCCTTTTTTTGTGTAAATTGCATACTCTTATGGACACCTTTCAAACCTCAATCCTTTCATGCATTAGTTTAAGCGAGAATTCCAAGCTCGTGAAGTTTTCCGCAAACCATACAATGCTTTTACCAATTTGTACACCAATTTTGCTTTATCTTTCTTCACGAACCCTTCCAGTTATGTCAGATGAACTTCTTTTTCTCAGTTTCCATTTAAGAAAGCTGATTTTACATCAAGGTGATGTACACTCCATCTATTCGAAGTAGCAACAGAGAGTCTAATTCAAATGATTTCCAAACGAGTAACTGGTGTGTAACATCCTGATTAATAAATAAATAAACAGATAAAATCAATAAACGAATAGTCGCCCTAAATCCATAATAAGTTACCAATGTTAGCCATAAGGAGTTAAATGTTATCATTTTAGGAAATTTGAGTCCATTTTGTAACATCTGGACCATAAATGCAAAATATTTTGTAGAAGAGGGGTTGTTGTGTAATTTATGGATTTAAATTGAAAGGGATCTATGGGGGAGGGACTGAAAGTATTCATATGGCTAAAGGTTTGAATTTGGACGGGAGTTTATGACCCGTCACCCTTATTCCCGTAACCCTAACCCTACTTCAACTTCTTCAGCTGCCACCACCTTATACCTCCATCCCTCCAGTCGCCGCCACCGCTATTGGAGCCGGGAACCACCAGTGGAGTACCGCTGTCGGCATTCCCGTTGTTTCTGAAGACAAGACCGGTGTGTGGACGTTGTTCAATCGAGAGTTCGGGAAAAACCGAGTCGTGGTCGCCGTCGTCCCCTCCGGTAGCGGCGCAAACTACCTTCCTTCCACCCTCTTCGTTCTGATGTCGCTTCTACACACTCATCGCCACTGCTCCATCCCGCTGTCGTCCTCCGTCCGCCGCATGCCACCGTGAAATGGTGGTTGTGTTCATGGCTCGCGAAGGGGGTCCGTGTGTGCTGATGTAACGTGTTGGATGCGCATGTGTGTGTGTGTGTGTGTTTTTCAGTTGAGCGGAAGTAGGAAGAACCACCATGGTAGCTGCCACCATTAGCGCTGTTGTTGTCGCCGTTCATCTCACTACCGTCTCCGTACGCCACCAGGTGGGTGGTTGTGTTCATCTTCCAAACAAGGACGTGTGTGTGCTGGTGTGTTGTGTGATCGTGAATCAAAAAGAGAAGCCACCACCACCACCACCGTGAGGTGGTGGCTATCAACTCCGACCACCGCCTGCCGCCACAAGGGTGGTTGTGTGTGTGTGCGTATGTTATATTGTGTATGTTTCTTTTTTGGATAATATCTTATATAATGTATTGTTTTGGCTGGATCAATCAAGGAAAAACTCGTCACCATCGCCGTAAGGTGGTGGTTGCCACCTCATGCCGCCATTCTGCCGCCACCTTGGGTGGCTGTGTGCACTTGTGTGTGATTAGAATGTTATTTGGGATGATTTTAATGTGCTTTGGTCTAGAATCATAACCACCACCACCACGAGGAGGTGGATGCCTCCGTGAGCCGCGGTTGACCACCACTGCCCGAGGTTCTAGTGGGTGGTGCCTGACTTATTTAACATTAATTAACCTAAAAACTTAACCAATGGACTAATTAGCGATTGGGTTGAAAACCCTAATTAGGGTTTAGAAAACCCTAGTTTTGGATATGTTAGTTTTGAAATTGTCGGGACCCGTATTTTGGACCATTGGATTGGAATTATGAATTAAGCCCGACCACATTGTATGGTTGATCTAGTAGAGTGATGCACTTAATGGATTAAGTCCTTAATGGCTTAAGTGTTCTTAATTAAACCTAAACGTCATTTTATGTTAAAACCCTAATTGTGTTGGGTTTTGAGTTGGGCTTAAATGTTTGGATCCTTGATGGGCCATCTAATAACAAGTATATGGACTAGGAAATTTAAATGGGCTATAGGGTAAGGCCGATGTGGGGGGTTTGGGCCCAATTTGGAAAACTGGGACATATGTTGGGCCTTGGTTCATTGTTTGGCTTGTGGGCCTTCAGAGTGTGTGTTTGGACCTTGCGTTGGGATCAAGCTAGGTTGGGGGTAAAGTAGTCTTTTTACCTCAATCATGGACTTATGGTTTTGTATTGTAACCCAATTATTAATTGGGTGTTGTTTTGATGTTGACAGTTCGGGAATCTGTCATCCAACAGCTAGAGTTTTATTCGTGGGACTTCAACAGTGCGAGGTGATTTACCTTCCATATATCAGTGGGTCGAAGGCACTAATGCTGGCCCACTGGTAGTTGTTTATAGGAGAGATGATTGTCTTTGTGATAATTGTCTTGTGTGCCACTATCTGTTGAGACTTATGTGTTTACTACTATGTTATTATGTAGTAGTGGTAGGGGGTGAAATAGACCCCGTAACCGGTTGAAAGAGACCGAAGGGGTAGGTCGGGCACCCAGATGTGCCTGACAGTACGTTTATGTATGTGTATGTATGTTATTATGTGGTAGTTATAGGGGGTGAAATAGACCCCATAACCGGTTGAAAGAGACCAAAGGGGCAAGTCGAGCACCCAAATATGTTCGACAGTATCCGGTTGAAAGAGACCGAAGGGTTAGGTCGAGCACCCAAATATGCTCGGCAGTATCCTGTTAAAAGAGACCGAAGGGGCAGGTCGAGCACAAAGATATGCTCGGCAGTATCCGGTTGAAAGAGACCGAAGGGGTAGGTCGAGCACCCAGATATGCTCGGCAGTATCCAGTTGAAATACACCGAAGGGGCAGGTCGAGCACCCAAATATGCTCGTCAGTATCCGGTTGAAATAGACCGAAGGTGTAGGCTAGCACCTAGATATGCTTGGCGGTAGGGTTGTTTTGTATGTGGTATGTTGGGGGGGGGGACTCACTAATCTTTTTTGCATACGGTTTTCAGTTTTGTCTCAGGTACTTCTTCTTAAAAAGGAAAGGAGTCGACTTGATCGCATCGCATCATACTATGATTTTCCACATTATGAGATCTTTGGGAGTTGTACTCTGATATTATTTTTCTATGACATGTTTTGGCTAATTGACACACTTGAGTTTGATTATGATTTGGATGAGACTGTTGATGTTTTCATACTACCTTTTTTATAATTTACTTAATTAAAAATGAAATTTTTGGTTCTGAATTTTGGGATGTTACACGGTGCCATTTCTATTACCGTTCGGCTGCTCCTTTTTACAAAACCATTTTGTTGTGGGGAATAAAGTTTTGTAAACGGGTGCTTCAATCCAGTTTCATTGCAATATATAGTGAATTGTGTCTATAAAGATTCACTACCCCAATCG